TAGGAGCAAGGACGCTACTAGGGGCTCCTGGCCTTACTACTAGGAGCGAGAAGCTGCTAGGAGCAAAGGGCATCGCTACTAGGAGCACGGACGCTACTAGGGGCTCCTGGCCTTACTACTAGGAGCAAGAAGCTACTAGGAGCAAAGGGCATCGCTACTAGGAGCAAGGACGCTACTAGGGGCTCCTGGCCTTACTACTAGGAGCAAGAAGCTACTAGGAGCCAAGGGCATCGCTGCTAGGAGCAAGGACACTACTAGGGGCTCCTGGCCTTACTACTAGGAGCAAGGAGCTACTAGGAGAAGGGCATCGCTACTGGGAGGAAGGACGCTACTAGGGGCTCCGTGCCTTACTACTAGGAGCGAGAAGCTACTAGGAGCAAAGGGCATATCTTCCTCAATATCACGACATATCATGACAATGCAACGCAGGACAGGGAAGGCCGAAGCTGTGTCAGCTTGGCAGGCAAGAATGACTCGTCTGAGGCAAGTCCCCCCAAACAGCCTCTCACTGAAAGGAGAACAGCAGTCGTGCAAGTTTGAGAGCCAAGAGAAAGTGAACTCACTGTATAAAAACCACCAACAGGTCCTAAAACTAGGGCCAGCCACATTGCGCTGACCTGCCAGTTGCTTTGCTGCACCTGTGCTGCCTGCGGTTTGGGTGATGTATCCAGTGGTCTTCGAAGCACGTTCAATCATGGAAGTTCCTGGCCAAACAAAGAATGATGAAGCATAACTGGAGAATCTATTGAATCCATGTTGAATCAATGGTAAAAAGGGCTTACCGCTTACCTTAGCCTTAGCTCTTCACAGCTCCAGAACAGCTCTTTTTTACGTGGCAGTTGCCACATGGAGCACCCGAGTCTGGCTCTTTTGGCCATGACTCTTGAGAAGTACTCGAACAACTTGAAAGTGCCCCTTCTCACAGGCAAGCTGCCAAGGAGTCCTGCGAGTGACCGAGTTGACTGGCGCTTACTCTTCACGTCTTCACGCTCAAATTGGTAAAAACAAGGCATTGAAATCATTAGGAGCAAGGATGCTACTAGGGGTTCCTGGTCTTACTACTAGGAACAAGAAGCTACTAGGGGCTCCTGGCATCGCTACTAGGAGCAAGGACACTAAATGATGTTCCCTTTCATACAGAATGATGAGAAAAGGTCCAAAAGGTTCAAAATCAACGATGAGAAAGAACTGATCTGCGAACAAACTGAACTTTGCTCAACACCCACCCCGTCCTACCATAACTGCCAGTGACATTAATGTCCGCACCTGGCATCCAGCAGGACCGGACAGGTGAAGATAGGGTAGTACTTACAAAGTATCATGAAGTCATGCTCAGAATGCACTTCAAGAAGTGGCTGCAAAGGAAGCTACTGGAGAAATATACCAATGACTCCTTTGAAATGTACGTGAATTCTCATCTCCGCTCGCGAGAGCAAAGACATGTAAGTAAGCCCATCTGCTGAAAGGTGTTTAAATGCAGAGCAGAAAAACGCTGTGTTGATCGTATTGTAGTCCACAACCTCGATTCTCCCCCTTCACTGCCCGCGGCGAACCTGCATAAACAAGTGACTCGACAATTTCTGCATGACCTTGTTCACAAGCCAGCTGCAAAGAAGTTCGCCCATAGCTTTTGGTATTGTTGACGTTGGCACCGAGTTCAATCAAGAAGTTCACCACTTCTGACTGGCCATGCTCGCATGCTAATTGTAGCGGAGTCCGTGCGTATCTGCTCGTAATATTGACATCAGCACGTGCCTTTGCGAGACACTTGATCCTTGACTTATGCTGTCGGTCAACAGCGTGGAGATGACGAACCAAAAACATGAGGAACATTTGATGACTCATCATTCCAGAGATTGTTACACCCATGTCCACTCTTTTCAGTCCCTCAAAAGTTCAATGCTAGTGTATCCCAGTGTCAACTGCAGGTTACCTTGCTCGGCTGCAATTTGCATCGGTGCCCCACCAAATGTGCCTTTCTTGTTGATGTCAGCTCCACAGCGGATCAGTGTCTGAGCTATCTCCATGTGCCGGTTCTCGCAAGCCTTAGATTGGAAGTGTCAGTGTAGTAGGTTTCACTAGGTTGCACCCTTCAGTGTCAATCGCCCTTTTTGCGGGGAGGCCGCTAGTAGAGAAACAATAACTACTTACTTAGGTCGCAGGATAGCTCACGCTATTCATTTGGTTCGTAGCTTTCTTGGGAAACTTAACTATAGCAAACTGAGTCACTAACCCCAGAGTCGCATGTGGTGCTTCAGACATTGCTGACACCGTGAAGGCATTACAGTCCATCTCAAATGCATGCCGAATGTACCACTGTCAAATTCAGCAGAACGCCACAAAAGCAATCAAAAAGTGTCACTCGGCTAGTACAGCTGTTCAGCCAGGAGGCCAATTGGAGGGGAGTTCGGCCGCATCGACCCGTCAAATTTAGATCAACCCCCGCCAAGATCAGAAGCCGAGCAACCTTGGAAGCGGAGGGCATGGCCCATGGATCGGATAGTTATAGTTGCTTGGCTTTACATCACTTCCAAAAAATCGTAGATGGCTCGATATCTCTCTCTCTCTCTCTCTTTTCGAATTTTGGGGCAGTCCAAGAAAGCCTGTTGTCCAGTATGGAGGCAAGGCACTTGCAAGTGTCCATGTTCACAAGCAAGTTGCAAAGGTGTCCGGCCACATCTGCTGAGACTGTCAAGATCTGCCTTTGCGTGGATCAGCACTTTCGCAACTTCCAGGTGCCCGTTCTCTGCAGCAATCTGGAGAGGGCTCCTGCCATATTGCCCACAACTATTGACGTCTGCCTTGGCCTGCCAAAGTTTGCAAGAGATCTCTTCATGTCAACTAAGTTGACGTATGTTGGCGTTGCAAAACCTGATTAATTACAAATTATTTAAGCAGTATTAAGCAGTATGCTTCATAGGGACAAAAAAAGGGGCTACAGTACTACCATCATCCCTACTGGACCTACGATCACCCACACGGCATATGGTCATTGGTCTTAGTAATTTTAATTTGATTCTAATTAGATTCTAATTATATAAAGCTTCTTGTTTTTATATATTGTTTCTACTAGCAAACATTGTTCCTAGTAGTAAGGCCCTTTGCTCCTAGTAGCGATGCCCTTTGCTCCTAGTAGCGTCCTTTGTTTGGCTTATGTCTTGCCTGAACCAAAAGCTCCACAACCTCGGTCTTCCCTTGCTCACTCGCCAACAGCAAAGGTGTCTTTCCACGTCTAAGCTCGTTGGGCTCTTTCAGCCTCTGCTTTTCATTGTCATCTCGGGATGTTGCCAGGATCTCGTCGATCTTGGGGACATTTGCAGCTGCTACTGCCTCTTCAGGCCCACCATTAATCTCAACTAAAGTTGCAGATTGCCATCAATATTGCGTAAAATATGCTTCGTGCGGTTCGTTTTCCCCAAGCACCAACGCTCTCAAAAAATGAAGTGAATGCCTTCTCGAGCCATGTCACACTACAGATTTTACACCTTTGCCCCAGACTTGCTTTGCTGGATTCACATCTGTTGTAGTTGTAAAACTCAACAGAATGATGAGAAATACATTTGAGACAATAAGAAACCATCCGTTAACCACGGAGCACCTCCAGCAAGTCTTCGTTGGAGTCCCACGCTGCAAAGTCCTCCAGGGGAGCAGACCTCACCACAACAAGATCTTGGAGATCGAGGCCTCTGAGCTCCTGGGAGACATGCTCTTCATGCAGAGCTACATCAAGACACACCAGAACCAAAAGAAGACAAAAGCACATTTCACGGAAAGGAAGAGAACAGAAAGCAGAATGCATCCGGAAAGTAAGCTGGACCTGTCTGTTCAGTCCTGAGCTGCATGTAGCACAGTGCCGCGGTGCAAAAGTGTGAGAAGGAACGTTGGACAAGATAGTGCCTGCCCAAAATTACTCGGACAGAGGTTGGCCGTTCGCCAAAGTCATACACCATAGTGAGTGACATCACGGGATCGCTGCTTTTGCATACTTATAGAAATCAAACGCACTTTGGAGGTTTTGCTTGGATTGCTGGGGGTTTGAAAGTGGAACGGGTTTCGGCACGCGACAGTCTGACAAGAGCTGCAAAGATTCCATATGACCTCCAACAACTACAAGCAGCGTACTTAAGTTAACCCGCGTCGCGTGAAGTCAACTCACTGGGCACAAGGTTTCAGAGAGAAGTCAACCCACTTGCGTGAAGTTGCGTGAAGTCGACATCAACTAAAATTGAACCATCATGTACTGAAACTGATGCATGGGAAATCGAACATCAACTAAAAAGCAGGCACACAAACCTATAACAGCCTCCAACGTTCTATGGACTAAATTTGAGTTTCTTGCGTCTATGTATGAAGCTCCCAGTCGCTGGAGTGGAAGCCACTTGTTCAGGCATCCTCAAAGAGCTCTGTAAAAGCCTTGATCTTTGACTTCAACCCTAAGTGAATTCGATGCCCACAAACCTGTCAGCGGCTACAATCGCACCTGTGCCACTTGCCTCTTGATGTCGAGCACCATCATCGAATCATCCTTTGGGCAGGGTATGAGTTCTTTCACAATCGAGAACTTATTGATGCCACCTGCGACTAAGCATGGTTTCGGAGATTAAAGGATTCACACATCTCCAATCTTGTTTAAGTGGTGGATCCAATGAAAGCTGTTGCAGCACGGCTGTGGTACAATTCTCCCGTGGCAATTGCATGCTTGATTAAAACTTTGACATGTCCGTTTCAATGACACAACTTCAGGGTTACCTCAACAGTAGTGGCACACAGTTGTGGGACCACCTGCGAATGCTTGCGGGCACAAAAACAACCTCGCTTCACCCTTGGATCTCTCGACCGTACAAGTATTAACCGTTCCGTACAGAAACATTTGGTTTACAAGACAGCTCTTTACGTGTAGTTCCGGTTGACTGGCGGACCGAAGTGTTTCCGGTCGGAGGATTCCAAGATACACGTTCTCTAGCAGACCCGCGCTTGTTGAGTCAAGATTCCGCAGTGATCTCTATCACTTCGCCGGACAACAGTCGAACTGTGCCAACGCATTGCATTGCTCCACCCCAGGAGTAAGCAAGGAAGCAAAGGCCAGGTGTTGCCCAATGACAACGATCACTGCAACACACCTCCTGTGACTAACAAGACAGTACCAGGAACCTTTCCAGGCAGCTTTTCGAGGTCCAAGTGGTGTCATGTGCGAACATAAACATATAATATATATATATATATATATATAAATACAACGTGTGCAGCATCTTGAGAGCACGCTGGACTGCTGATGTTCCCTGAAGAAATGCTCTTGCAATGGATTGTCCACATTGCAACGTCGATTTGAACCATCACGGCCTCAAAGAACAAAATGGGACATAAAGTCAGAAAGGATTTAAGTCTCAGCAAAACTCGGAAACTGTTTTTTTGGATGCATACAAGTTTAACCAGCAGCAGACTAAGAAGGTTCTCGGTCTTGCCCATCGAGGAAGGCTGTACGTCGCCCCTCAATCTCCAAGATTCTACGGATGAAATTAGTTTTCAAGCATTGTCAGCTCAAAGTGCCCAAAGTCATATTGCCAAATGAACGGCCTGCCTTGACCAAACCCAGCAGAAGGGCGGTACCCGCACACCGAGCAGCCTGGGGAATTGGTTTCTGTTCTAGAGACAAACAGCCCTAAACGCTGAAGATTCTACAACTTACTAACTTACATCAATTTACCAACTGTCTTGTAACTTACAGCATGCGATACATACAGCATGTAGAAAATAGGAACATCCCTTGGCTTCCTACAGCCACTAAGTGGAGATTCACCTGGCAGCGACGGCCAAGTTTTTGCAAATAAGAGCACTGCCCTGCATACACACAACAATTCAAACATGCATTCCCGCCAATCGACCTCTTGCAGAGCTGTTCAAAAACCATGGTACCCGCAATCTGGGTATAGTGTCAAACCAAAGCGCAGCAGCCTGCCCCATGGACCAAAGTAGCAGCCAGCAAGCCAACCTGGGCCAATTTGGGAAACAAGGGGAAAAACATGTACCTATACAAGTTAAGCAAACTTAGCGATGTGCTGGGCGATTTCTGGAGCGCAAACGAATGGCTAGAGGAGTTTCTAACTTTTGCAAATGTCTGCTCCTTGGCCTTCGGGGCACACCGGAGAAACCATGTGATACAACTCTGCAGTTGCTGTTCAGACCTGAAGAGCCGTGGACCCAGACGAGCAACTTCCAGCACAGCGAAGGGCAGCCAGCGCCACCTTATTCCAAATAGTCTCACTAGTCCTTATTCGCATGACTCAATGTATGAATCATGAAAGACTAAGTTTGCATAATCAAACTATTTTGGCTGCGTCCATTGTCCGGTTTCCTCAAGACGAGGCACGGATATTGCTGAAGTCCGGCCCCCTATGCCTGGCCGAAGCGGTCACTTCCTAGAATCCACGTCCAACGTCAAAGAGCCAAAGGACAAGTTATACAAGCCATATTCAAATGGGAGAACAGGAAAGAAATGGAAGGGAACGAAGGAGAAACAGTGCTGTAGTAACCACAGACCAAAGGGCGTTCCACCTCGTCCCCATAGTCCGAATATTGCTGAAGCAGCAACACCTGCAACTCAGCAGTGGCATCCCATGAAGGTCCAAAAAGAAAAGAAGGCAAGGGCCAGGGCCAATGTACCTTCTTCATTCTGTAAATGATCTTATCATTCTGAACTGAGGTACCGAAGGTGGGAAAAGTCTAATCTTGGGTCAGCATTCAAAACGAAGGATGCCAAGAAAACCGATGACAGGCTGATTCCTGGACAACAACTCAACCTGACCGATTGAAAGTAAATTCTCTGTCTGTCCTGAGATGCCAATGTCTCCAATGCAAGAGGCTCCTATATAGCAAACTGGAGCCACTGTAGCCAGTATAAATGCAACAAGTAGCATGCTCCTTTTGCTTGATCTGGTCTGCAAAGGTTTGTCTCTGATAAACCGAATTCTCCTGCTGCAGCAACTTCTGCACAACCTAGGGTCAGGCATGCATTTGGCATGCATTTAGCAAGTGAGATTGAAATGAATAAATGACAAGAACCTGAACAGACCTTGGCGCTGTACTGGATCACAACAGCCTACTGGCAGAAATGAGACAAGTCGAGACATGTGGTGCTTCTGGAGGTTCCGTGGCATGGATAGGCTGTTCTTCAGTGAAGAGATTTCCTGCATCCGAACACCAAGGCCCCATGCTTGCAGGTGCAGTGGGGCATGCCTCTCAGCAACGTGGATGAATTGGATCATCCTGGATCAAATCACGTGCCGCCCTTGGAGTTAACCACTCGCTAAAACCAGGTGCTGCAAACTAAAACGGAACGACGGGTCCAGATCGTGGGAATCTGTTTGTTGGAAAATGCTTGTACACTGGGACCATGATGATTTCAAGAGTTGAAATAGGAAATTTTGTTGTCAGTCAGTTGAAGGTGCGGAACCTGGAACCGATCGATCATCAAGTGGGCCCGTGGAGTCCCATCGAGTCCATGATGCAAAAGTGACTCTGCCATTACATGGCTCAATCTATGTAAAAATTTTCTGTGGATGTAAATGTGTCGTGATGTGTCAAGTGCTCTGAGAATTGCACATCCGTAGGCTCGAAGCCCCTGAGTTTTCCATTCCAACCTTTATCTGAATCTTCTATTGAATCTATTGAATGTCCTTGTGATCACAGGATGATGAGATCTGGGGTTCCGAGCCAATAGCAGGAGCAAGGCCCATGTCAGGACTCCCCAAACCTCCGGCCCCTGCCAAGATGTCAATCTCACCGTTGCAATCAATTCCAGCGAAGCCCAGCGAAACAGCAAGTCAGAACCTGAATTGGACTGAAGCTTGCAGCAAGGGCTGCCGCCAGTCCCAGCACCTCAAGCAGGCGAGGCGACTCAGAATGAATGGCTGCAGTACCCACAAGTTGCCAAGAGAAGTGTTTGTTTGCGTGCAATCATTCCTGGTTATCATGAAGTATGAGTGGACTTGAAAAGGAGTGAAGACTGAGTGATATCTTTGTCTCGTGGAACTCGACTCGGCGGCCCAGCTCTCATGGGCAGAAGTGACGAGAGTGATAGAATCATCAAGGAAGTACCTGTTACAATCTGCAATGTGCAAGGTTTCTCTATTACCAATACTAATACATCTAATACTATGCTGACCGCTTTAGCACAACAGCGTTAAACCGAGGATGGCTTGAACCTCACAATATTTACAAACAAATTGAAGGATTGGCAACCTTAGGTTGTGCAATGCATCTGTTCTCTGTCTTTGCAGGCTCTGGCGCTTTGAAGAGTGCGGCCCTCCGCATCATGTGCTTGCAACACTTTCCCACCAGCCCAAACAGCCCTACGGTGCCTTCAAGAAAACGTCGAGCTAACGGCACCTGTCAAGAGCTCGCTTCCCACTCCCCCTGTCTTGCATTGTCTTGCTCTGTGTTTGACCTGGGTGCTTAGGGTCGCATGTAAATGCTCTTTGGTGCGCCTTCTTTTGATAAAGGCAAAGGAAACAATAAAAAGAAGGTAAGGATGTATGTTCCCCCTTTGAAGGAGGCCTTACATCTGGAATTGGCAAGCGTGTCAATTCCAGTGGCCCAAATTTGCTACCACGGAGCTGAGGTGAAAAACATTTTCTTGGTTGTAGGTTCTGTATGAGTTCTGCACAGATTCGAACAATTGATAGGATCAACCAGTTTTGGACAAACGGATTAACTAAAGGTGTTTTCCTCCCAGTGTGCCAGCAGCTGCAAGTTTCCTCTCTTGTTGCATGCTCTTTAACCCCACATCTTTGGCAGAGGTTGAAACTGCAGGAATTTCCAACGAAGAGGCGAAGAGTGCAAAGGGAGCAGCCACTCAAGAATGCTGGTGGTCGGACGTGTTCTTTGAGAACCATCCATCGATGTCAGTGGCAACGTTGCCATTGCCTTGGGCAACTGAAGAATGCAAACAGCAAGGTGAATGAGCATGTGTCTCAACCATTCGTCCAGGCTGTGTTCCTCAAGCTGCAAAGTCTATAGCTGTCGATAAACGTTTCCTTGCAACTTGAGGGACATGGCCCGAGGTCCAAGGTGGGCCTAGTGTAGAAGTCTGAAAAACGTGCGTAATTCGCATGTTCATGTTCAGTGCATTCTTTCTGAGGTATATGCTTATTTGCGAACACGCAACTTTTGGTTTGCTAAATTACTTGATAGACTTGCCAGGCCAAACCGCCTACTAGAGAGGTTATTTGCCATCGGAAGCGTTGGAAGAGCTGCAAAAGAGATCTTGGCTTGGGTTGGAAAGTTTCATTGAGGAAACAAGTGTTTGAAAGCCCCTGGAACTGCACGTTTCTCGCCTGCATTGGAGCGACATCGAAAGGCAGTTGAGCCTGAGCACGGCTCGAGTCTTGTCAGATGTCTTGGTTTCGCCACGTCAACCAACTTGCATATGTGGTGCGTGTCTTGCACATTCTTGTAATGCAAACGTGCCTTGCCAGTTCAATAGAAACCAGTGTTCATGTAAATGTGGAGAGCAAGCAAATGCATTCAAAGTGAAATGCAAATGCATGCAAATGGGTCCTATATAATTCTTTGAGAATTGCTAGGCCCCATACTAACAAACCTGCCGCTGCCAGGCCCAGTAGGCCACTCGCACCTGGACACATATGGCCAAACTTGGTCTCCTCTACTACAGTAATGGGTTCGAATGCAAAAAGCTGATCCACACGGCACGTTTAGAGGCAGCTCGATACATACGAGCACTCTGACATTGCCAGATATTGACACTATGCCACTATGCGGGGCAGAACACTCTCAGGTGGGCACTTCCATCTGCAGGCGTGGCAGGTGCATTTGGTACTCCTGTCTTGGGCGCGCTTCTGACAACTGGCAAAGTGACAAAGTGTGCGTGAGAGATTATTCTTGTCAATTGATGTCTGAATTTCCAATGGTCATCTTGGAATCCAAGCTGCTGTCTGCCGCTGTTGTGGCTGTTGCAGTTGCTGTTGTTGGGTCACGTTGCAAAGTGACTGGAGCTGCTTTGACCATTCAGTACATTTTTTTACGGAGGCACGTCTGTTCTTTAAATATCCAATATATCCAAAGTGCTGCCCTTTCCTCACATACATTTTCCCATCGAATCTTGTGTGCGAGTGAGCGCTACATTCGCGTAAACAGAAAAATGGTGTCTGATCTGCGTTCCTTTCCGCCTCTCTGCTCTGCTCTGCTCTGCGCTTTCCTTCTTTTCCTTTCCCTTCCCCTTACCCTTACCTTTCCCTTTCCCCTTCTTCCCTCCATCTCTCGTTCTCTCTGTTTCTCTCTATTTCTCTCTCTTTCCTTTTTTTTCTCTCTCAGGGCTCAGGGTGAGGGATCAAAAATTATAGGGATCAAAAAATTGTCTCAGGAGATCAAAGAACATATTGGTGTCAAAAAATACTATGGCAGGCACAACGCTCTGCGCACCTCGGAGTGCAGATTTCGTGGCAGGTGCAACGAATTGTGACCCTTGATGTGCATATTTTGTGGCAGCATTTTGTGAACGTCGAAGTGCTGATTTCTTACAGGCGCAACACTTTGTACAACTCGAAGTGCAGAATTCGTAGCAGGTGCAGCATGCTGTGAACCGCGAAGTGCAGATTTCGTGGCAGGCACAGCATTTTGTGCGAGCCGCAAAGTGCAAAGTTCGTGGCCGGTGCAGATTGCGTAGCATGCGGGCCAAGGGACCAGAGGACCAAGAGACGGACCAGCAGACTAAGGACCAGGGACTAAGGAACGGATCACGGGAAACAAACACATCTTGATTGATACCAATACCTATTATGTGCTTCTTTCTTCCTTTCTCTCTCTCTCTCTCTACCTCTCTCTCTCTCTATCTATCTCTCTCT